TACATCGTTTCATAAATCACCGGCGTTAAGAGGTCAACCAGCTGCTGCAGATCTGTAATAAAAGACGGTGGCCTGGAGGGTTGGTCGAAAACTCCCCTTTCTTAATAAAAATCAAGGGTAGCGCTGCTTTGGCCACATCACTGCCTTCTGACTAAACATTTAAACGGGACTTGCATTATAAATACTAATAGGCGACTCATAAACGTGCACGAAAATTAAGCTTTTTGGAACATGTACAGACAGACAAATCCTTTCTGCCATGAAGCTCGCTGGTGGACACAACTTGCAGTTTCTAATTTGAGCCCGCTGTCTTTACACAAGCAATTAATTTATGGATCTTGTTTTTAAATTGAGCTTCAACATTCAGTCCAACCTAAATACAACATTTTCTTTTGTATTAAACCAGTACTGTTCTAAAATGAGCACTGCAGGGAAACAAAACATGAAATTCCAAATGCCGGTGTCGATGTGCATGAATATTGTCATCACCCCAGGACCAAGTACAATGAAACAAGCCCGGGCGAACTTTCACCTATGTCTCCCCCCGTCACTGAAGTAAGAGAAAGGAAATGAGCACTAGGCTCTATGAGGCTGGAATGAATCGAAGACATCACAAAAGTATCACAGAGCGTGAAAAGGCGAGAAAAAAGATAAATACACACCGCGGGGTCATCGTCGTCGTCGGCCATCCTGGATCCTACTAAAGCCGCAATTGTAGCGAATTGGTGTGCAGGGAGACGCAGAACAAAATCGGGATTTTACAGGCTAAGACTGAAGCTTGAAGAGTGTGTGTAGTCAACCGCCAAAAACTGTACCGGTACTTTACCAGGGGAACAAATTTCTGCAGCTGTCCAGGGAACTACTAAAAACAAGCGCTGGGCGCTAGCGACCATTCACTTCCTGGGTCCCAGGTCATGTGACCTTCCGGTCAGATTATACCATTACAAACCGGAGCGCTTACTGACATTACATTCTTTAACCGTCACCTATTGTCAGAACTTAAATAGGTATAAACACAATTGTAGTAAAATACTTTACAAAACAAACTCCTAATCCGTTTCTGAGACATCTTTTGCACCCACGCCGATGGTTTTATCTACGCCGGCGTGAGGCGAGTGGACGAGTCCTGGTTGCGCAGATTCCCGCAGCTCTACGCAGATACTGCGCAGATTGGAAGACAAAACTGTTCTAAATGCAAAGCAGGATCAGGAGTCTCTACCCACGACTTTCCGATTAGTGCAGTCTTTTGAGTCCATCTCACTGTAGAGATCTACGAATGACCGATTAGGGGAATCGCTTTAATTACAATAATTAAGTTGGTAGCTAGCTGCAGAGGTCAGTTTGATTGAACGAGGTGCCTATAATGTGGACTTTCTTTTCATGACTTAAAAAATGTTTTTTTTTAAATCTTTTCTCTTTAGAAGGCCAGTATTAATCACATAACATTAAGCGAATTGCAGTCCACAAACACTGTACACTTTCTCTGCATGCAGATGATGGTACAAATGCCGTAAAATGTCACTCTGTATAAATGCATAACCTGGCCGGATTTGGCTGGAAAAATAAAAGGAATAATGCCGGATTAAATGTAATTCTGGGTGAGCATTGTCTATGACTGTTCCTACCTATGGTCGCTACAGTTAGGAGAAACAGTGGTTAAACTGCGTATTCTCCAAGCTAGCAATGGTTACAATAAAGTCAACCAGATAATCCGTTTGCCGCCCTGCTCGTACCATCCAACGTGAACCATCGTCATCGTGTTTATTCTGGAATCGCTGTTGGGAAATTCCACCCCCTCGGTCGGCAGGAGGAAATCAGCTTTGAAGTGCGTGTGCGTGTAGCCCTGGTCTCTTCTTGGCCTGTGCGGAATGGGCTCGGCAGCTCCCACGCTGTTGCTGGAGTTTCAGTCACACCCACCGAGCCCAGCAGGGGGCGCCCGGAGAGACGCGTGATTCCCCTCAAGGGCCGGAGCCGGCGGGCCTCTCTGCAGACTTCTGCTCGTCCAATTAGGCGGTCAATGAGACCCTTGGTGAGGTAACTGAGGGTCTGGGTGGGAGGAAAACCAGGTATCTCACGCATCCCCCCCGGAAAGCGGAGCAGCGTGCGAAAAACAGATGTGGTGCTTTCAAGTACCAGTTTTTATGTTTGCTAAACGCGGACAGCTTGTCTGGACAGGCCCTGGCTACCCAGCGGCCCTGTGCTGGACACAGCTGCGAGATAATGGAGACAAAACGGACGAGTATCGACACAGACAGACATCAGTCCGGGAGAGTAGTAGCTCTATCCAAAATAAAGTTATGTGTAGCACAGGGTGGTGTTCTTTTCATGTAATTGTACTGCGAATAGAATTATTATCCAGAATAAGCTAAACCCCAAGAGAACATTTCTTTTAAAACAAAGTTGTTTAATCTTTCGTACAGGGGTTACATTTGACATCAAGCCCAAAGATTTATAGTTCACATGAAACAACAGGGCCCGCGTTGAATAAGTATTAACTGCTTTCATAATGACATGAAAATACATTTAGATCCATACAGACTATTCTAAAACGTCCCTAGCATTAACAGAAGCGCAATTTTTTCCTCAAGCAGTGAAGACTAATCTAGAACAGGAACACCTAACCCGAGAATGCACAGTACACTGCAGTGCTAGCCCCTATATATTCAATTACCCAACATTCCTGGAAAACTAAAATTATGCTTAGTGTCCCCAAAAACTTTATAGGAAAGAGATGAAAGATTCAAATGTTCTTGTAGATTCACTGACGTCACTGCATCCAAGAGAATGGTACAGGTTAAACGGGTCTGCTATTGAACAGTGTGCACAGTTTGTACTTACCGGATACATGCTAGCAGACACAGGACACCTTAGCGACCTCTCTTGGATAGCCCTGACAACAACCTGAGGACAGCAGTATCCCAGCCTTGGGCATGGTAAAGATCGTCAATGACCCAGCATTATTAATGTGCCGCTAATCTATTGCCTGGTGGGGGGGGCTATCATTGGACCTGAGACCTGTTTTTGTGTCTCTGCTGTTCCCACAGGGTCAGCCGGTGCTGTACAATATAATTCTGTAAAGCCCTCTGTGGTCAACTGTTGCAAATGGCGCTACAGCGAATGAAGATTGATTGATTGGTGAATTGATGGGTTGATACAATGTTCGTTTTTGGAGTAATTTTGTCTGTGGTCTTTATCACGATTAAAACCAGGCACACAAATGTAAACTGCCTCAATTCGAAAAGTTTGCACTATTTCATCTGTTGTCTGTATACCATGCACTTGCAGAAAAGGAGAAAAGGACAATCCTTAACGGGTATTTTTATGTAGAAAATACTTGATAAATGTTATGAAAAAGTCCCTTCATACTTCACCCTCTGTCCTCTTTCAGTACCAATGACATTACAGTGCCAAATAAAATTATAGTATGTGAGGGGCTTAATTGCTCAAAAAAGCTATTTTTGAACAATGTGTGGAACACTAGTAGAAGTGACTAATGCAAAGCAACTATCATTCTAAATTTCAGTGAATGAAAATAGATTTGAAAAACATGGATACTGATGTGCACTTTATTATAGCTAGTAATTTTTATTGTTAAATACCTTAATAACCTTAAATGCTAAATATACTTATTTATGGAGAGTATTGATTTATCATCTTAAAAAAGTGTTTTAAGCAGACCCTTGAAACCCCAGTTCAGAAAGGCTCACACAAATGACCTTCGAAAAGCACAACAGCAGTGTCGCATTAATTTAAGAATTTAAGATTCATTTGTTTTATATAAACACAAATAAGGAAAAATGTATTCTTGTAATTAGAGTGGTAACGTCTCTCTAAAACTGGGTTACCATTTCTGTGTAATCGTTTTGCATGTTTTTAATTGGGCCTTTCTCAGTAGATCTTAGTGCTTGTAGTATTTAGTACTTTTTCTCCTCAATAAAAAGCAGAGGCAGAGAGTTGCAGAACAATTGGAAGGGTCAGCTCGCAAACAGATATAGCAAAGGTCCGCGTCCCGGTAGGAGCAGGAGATAAACTCGGTCTGATGCTCACAGTGCTAGACATTCAGCTCCAGGTTACAAAAAGTGATTCTAATGTGAGCGCCGCAAAGGAGCTCCCCTCGGGCTCAGCCCAGGCGGCCTCAGCCTACTTCTGAGAGCACTGGGAAGGGGGGGGGGCGGGCGCGGAGGGCGTCGCGAGAGGATGTTAGGAGTTGCTGGAGTTCTCCGTGAACGCGTTGGCCCCAAAGCCGGCAGAGTTCGCGGAAGGGAAGGGCGCGGCGTCGTCAGCGGTGCTGCCCTCCTCCTGCTTCCTCCCGCCGGCGGCTTCCTGGGAGGGGTTGCTGCCGGCGGTCCTGAAGCTGGGGTCGCTCCGGGCTTCGCTGTTCTGCAGGGGCAGCAGGGCCTTGTGCCTCATCAGGCTGTCGCCGCTGTCCTTGCCCTCCAGGGAGCTCTTCCTCCGGCTGTACCTGACGGCCACGGAATTCTTCCGGGGCTCCTCGAAGCTGAGAGAGAGCATCACCTTGCCGCCGCCGAAGCTCACCGTCTGCTTGCAAGCCCTCTGCGGCCCCGCTGCGGGGAGGTCCTGGTCCTCGTTGCTCTTGAAGCTGATGGAGGACGAGGGCGTGGACACCGAGGAGCCGCCGACGCTGTTGGACCTCTTGCGCGAGACGGCGCTGCGCCGCAGCGTCGCCCGGGCCGCCACCTTGAAGGCGTGGGCCGCGGTGCTGCAGCGCACCTCCTCGATCGTGTTCCTGGATGGCTTGAAGAGGATGATGTAGACCTTGTTGAAGAAGATGCAGGCCAGGAGCCCGAAGCTGGAGGCCAAGATGGCGATGACCTCCACGGCCGACACAAACTTGCCGTAGGTGCTGACGTAGGCAGGGATGAAGGAGATCCAGACGATGAAGAAGATAAGCATGCTGAAGGTGATGAACTTGGCCTCGTTGAAGTTCTCTGGCAGTTTGCGGGACTTGAAGGCAAAGAAGAAGCAGACGGCGGCCAGCAGGCAGGTGTACCCGATGAGGAACCCCAGTGCCATTAGGGAGCCCTCATTGCAGGTGATGAAAATGATCTCGTCCATGTCATGGTTGCTGTAGCTCTCGGGTGGTGCGTTGTAGAGCCAGACCACGCAGATCATGATCTGCACGAATGTGCACATGAAGACCAGGAGGAACTGCAGGTTCAGCCCCCACCACTTGCGATGAAGGCTGGTGGGGATCTTGGCTTCGAAGACCAGCAGCACCCGGTTGGTCTTGACCAGGATGCAGGAGATGCAGAGCACGAAGCTGATCCCGAAGGCCGGCTGGCGGAGCCGGCAGGTCCAGTCCTGGGGCTCCCCAATGAAGATCAGAGAGCTGGAGAAGCAGCAGATGAGCGAGAACAGCAGGAGGTAGGAGAGCTCCCTGTTGGTGGCCTTCACAATGGGAGTGTTGCGGAACTTCACAAAGACCCCCAGGACAAAGGAGGTCAGGAAAACCCCCAGCACCGCAAACAGGGTCAGCGCAATCCCAAAGGGTTCGGTCCACGAGAGAAACTCGATCTCCTTGAGAAGACAGGACGTATGGTTTTCATTGGACCACGAGTTGTTGGGGCACTTGGTGCACACACTCGCATCTGAAACACAAACAAACAGAAAGTGTATTTTCTTAATAAAAAAAAAAGCTTGCTTTGAAGGATATGTTGAATACAGAGTTTCTGAGGCTATCAAAACAATGAAAACGCTGATGCACTTGTAGCTGATGTTATTTAAATAGATTTTGCTTTGAGAACGAACACAGGCTTTTCGCAATACATGGAGAGCTTGATATGCTTTATTGTCTTCCTTTCCGCGGCATCTCCTCACCTTTGTGATCGCTGAACTCCCCATCAGAGCACTGCTTACACTCAAAGCAACACGTCGGCTCGCCGTCGATGATCCCTTTTCGGGTTCCCGGCTCGCAGTCTTCACTGCAATTTGAAAATGGGACCTAAATCATGGAAGAAAACTGGAGAACATCAAAGCCTGAAAAGTAACACTCATCTTCCTCACACCCTTACACGTGAAGGAATCCTGGCGTGCAGAAAGGTAAAGAGAGGAATAAGGTCCACAGGTAGTCCTGTATCAGCTCAACATTCAAATACAGCTGCTAGTTAAATAGAATGGAAACAAGATAAGATCACTTTACTGGCCATATACAATTTCTTGTATTAGGAATTTGTCAAAGAGACAGTGCTTGCAATTTTTATCCTTGTCACAGATGTTTCAGCAATACAGAGATTTTTTAAATGACTGGTCTTCTACAGTAATTTAGATAAATCAGCCATTTCTAGATGCTTCAAGAAGAAGTATCGAGAAATGGCCTAATCCTCTATTCTCCAATCAGACAAGAATCCTCTCTGATACAATTCACTCAGAGAGCTCTTATATAACGAGCAGAACAACGCGGTAAAGCTCTGTGATATACGAATACGGGGCCAAAGCCTCTGAGGACACAATCTGACAGGGTGAGTCATTTCCCAGTTATCCAGACATTCAACAGAATGATTGAAGGGCACCTACGACTTTACTGTAGCCGTTCCACAGTATCTTGGACTTATCGATGAAGAGGCGAGAGCCTTTCTCAGCATGCATGTTGTAGTGGCCGATTTCCTCGAAGACCACAGAGCCGTCCTCCGGGGACCGGTGCCAGTTCACGATGGTGTAGTTACCCAGCAGGTCTCCGCTCTCATCGAAGTCCACCTGCTCTCCCATGCTGTTGGTGAAGTTCAAGTGTCTGAGCTGCTTCAGAACCTGTAAAGAATCAGATTGGTCCGGTCTTAGCCCTTAGCCCCTTTTCGCTTATTTGCAATGCATTTCCAGTCAAAATCAATGGAATAACATCAACTGAATATAATTCAAATCCAAATAACCACAATCTGAAAAGTGTGAAGTGTTTGAGTGAAATTACTCTTGTATTCTATGAGAGTGAAATGAAACAGGCTTGTTAACAGGGTTAGCGCTGTTTGCATATTTCTTCCTCGGCATATGTTGTTTTTTCAAATAAAGCCAATGTTCAGATAAACAAATAAAACAAGCTCAGAGCTCCTTCACCCCTCTTCTAAATTGTTTCAATACCCCTGAACAAGAGACGCAACAGAGAGGGACAGAGACACAGCAGGAGACCCCTGTGTGGGCCAGTCTGGTTCATGGGAAAATCTTAAGTTCTCAGCCTCGCGTTTCAGGCACTTGACTGCTGAGGAGGAGTATTGGATTTTTCACTAAGGTTCTAATTTTTCAAGAATCCTTAAGATTAAAGTCTTAATCTATTAAGTTATACCTCCCAGCTAAAGGCAATGCTTATAAAGGTGGCTTACAACATGCAAAACTGAGACCATGCCTTCAAAGCAGCCTGGACCAGATTTGACCCAGAGTGAACTCTATGTCTCACCTGCCACGCTTCCACTTTCTTGATGTCAGCACAAGAGCCATTGGTGAATAGCCCCTTCCCTGGAGTGCAGGTGAGAATGTCCTGGAGGGCATGGGCGATGGAGTAGACAGCAACATACACGTTGTAGGAGATGCGCAGGTGAGTGTAGTCCAGGTAGGGAGTCTCAACGCTGTTGATGTCCTCCTCCCCTGTACAAGGCGGTCTGATGTTTGCACTGCCATTTCCCCTCGAGGGGTTTCTGGGGCTGTCTTCCAGATAGCAGTTGAAGGTTTCTTGCCAGAACTCCCTGACAAACTCGTTATGGGCGGACTTCTTGGGCTGCACCTGCTGCAGGAAGTTCCTGAAGCCGGGGATCTGCCCGGCTCTGAGGGCAAAGCCGATGGTGCCCCCGACCACGTGGAAGAACTCGGGCTTTGCGATCAGGGAGGAGCTGGCCCAGGCCTCGCTGGCCAGCCAGATGCGATCGGTGATGTTCCTCTTCACAATCTCCTTGATAAGAGGCTCCATGTCTGGGCCGCTGGCGAAGACCGCAATGACCTTGGCTTTGGACTCCTGGATACGGTCCACGATTCCCTGGATGCGCTCCTCCTCGAAGTACTGAGAAATGAGCTCATTCAGGTGGATGCAGATGTCCCTGTCTTCCACCTCCTTCTCAAACTTCTCAATGCCAGGCCGGCCATAGTCATCGTCTGAGGCCACTGCTATCACCCAGTTCCACTGAAAGAAGTCAATGATATCGGCCATTGCGGTGGCCTGGTGCTCGTCTGTGGGAATGGTCCTCATGAAGGACTTGTACTGGTTCTTGTTGCTCAGCAGGCGACTGGAAGACGCGTAGCTAACCTTCAACAAGGCAGAAAACACTGCAAGGTAAGAGCCCTGGGCGATTCGGACAGGTGGCATACTTTTTGTTCTGAGAGCTGTGGAGCTACAAAGCAGGTTAAAAAAAATGATATCAAAGAAATTGAACGATATATTTTTTGTAGTAGTTCAGGTGGGCAGCTGCGTCAGCATGCGTAGGCTGCAAAGGAACAAGTAACAGGTTTATCCCATGCTGAAAAAAAGAAGAAAGTAAACACAACGTTGTGTGTTTTTTTTCTTTTTTTCTTTTTTTTTCTTTTTTTTTCAGCATGGAATAAACCTATTACTTGTTCCTATATATTATACACAACCTGGAAGTATTTGTACATTTTGCTATGCAGTATTATTTATACCGTACGAAACAAACTCTATGACATTAAACTGCAAATACTACAGGTTGGTTGCATACAATAGATTTCTGATAGACAGCTGCCCAAATTTATTTTTTACCCTGTAAATGCTCTCCCAGTGTGAAGACAGAAATGCACAGCGTCTCTCGTCACATGCGAGAGGAGACTTGCCGATAAATCAGAAGCTGGTTCTAGATGCACTAGAGTGGGCTAAGCTAGCAGCTTGCAGGCTGCTCTGGTTTTGCCTGGCTGCAGATGCCAGATCTGCTCCAGGAAAGACCTCAGTGCAAACACATAGGAACAGTTACGAACGAGAAGAGGCCATTTGGTCCAACAAGCCCATTTGGTAGAGAGTACTTAATGGATCCCAGGATTTCATCCAGTTATTTCTTGAAAGAAGCCAGGGCATCAACGACAGGGCCAGATACCTCCTTCCACACTCCCAGGAGTCACAAGAAGGCGGCTGCCTCTATGAGAGTTAACTCCTCTGGCCCCGAGGAAAAAAGACACAGCTGACTCACAAGATCTAAGTGTTCCATTTCTATATAGTTGTAAATCCATGAAGGATCAACATGCCTTCCATTCACTTATAACTTTAGGATACAGCTATTATCTCCCCACCTGCAGCTACATGTTCAAAACAAACAAGTGTAAAATACAAAATGAAATAGTATTCAAAAACGTGTGTGTTCACAAGAAATGTAATGGCGCATTGCATTTATTAGAAGATTTCTAATGATGACTATCATATAAATGGATGGTAAAGCATATTTCATTATGCAGACCTTCAGTATCTGTTAGTTGCTCTTTATTTTTCTGTATTAGAAGCCAGCTAATAGGATAAATGATTAAATTAACAGCATTTAGTGTAGTGTGCCTTCTTTAAAGGGGTCTGGAAAGCTAGCTCATAACTAATTCATTAAGTTGAACATCAACAACACAATAATAAATTGTCCAGAAAAACAACTACAGACTTGATTGTTACTTCCGTCATCTGTGTCCATCTTGTTTTCTTCAGGAGGGGGGAGTGAGGGATACATTCAGCAAGGAAGACGAGGCAGACGTGGTCTGCGGCTGACATGTCTCTGTTGGACAACTCCTCCTCAACCTCCTGCCCTTGCCACACTGCTACCTTTCTAGAGCTGTTGGCCAATAAAATAACGGCAAGTAACGTCCAGTCGGGCTTCGTTACATGCTCAGAGGGACCAATCTGCTAATGAGCACCGACATGATCACAAACCCACCAATGAGCAGCACTATTGCTGGGCGCAGCTACCCCCGCCACTCACCTGCGGGATGTAGAAGAGGCCCAGCAGGTTGGCCACAGCAGTTGACACCCCCGAGCCAGTGGCGCCCACCACCGCGATGGTGGAGGGGATGTGCTCCGAGCAGTTACAGAACTCATCCAGGTTGAGCGAGTCGATCTTGTTCTGCGCCACGAAGCTGAGGGTGGCCTCCAGGGCCTTGGACACGGTGTTGCAGGTGTCGAAGATGCGGTACCCCAGCGTGATGTTGGGCAGGAGAGTGCTGCTGTTGTTGATCTCCTCTATGGCGAAGATCATGGCCTGCAGCCAGCGAAACCCCCGGAAGTTATACCTGCGCAGGAACAGCCACAATGTGTTGCTCTGTGGGTGGGGCTCGGAGAGATAGGTATCTGGTGCTTAAGGTGGGGGGGGGGCGGGGTGCTGAGGGGGTCAGTCAAGCTGGAGAGCTGGAGGAAGGGATGGGTGTTGCAAGATGTGCAAGACCCTGGGGGACAGACAGCAGCTACTATACAACTCACCTGGATTCTGTTTCCCACTTTCAAACCTGAACGACAGGCAGGACACAAGAAAGGACCTGACCCACCTTGCTCCATTGGGACAAGTCGCTAACCTGTACCAGAACCTCCCCCGTCCATCTCTGGTACAACCCCAGGGAGCTGGCCCTTGACAATACAATCCCTTTCCTCAGCTGTTGACTGCTGGAAGCACAAACGTCTGCCTCTAAACCTGGTCTTACCCTGCCTACTGCTTTCACATCAAGTTACTGATATGAGGCAATGCCATGAAAGGGTTTTCTCTTGTGTAAGGCAGATGAGGCAGGACTGGCCGACTGTTTTCCACTCGTGCCCTGCCTCTGTCTCTTGCATGGTGTACTGTAAACCGCTGCAACATCTGTTTTTCTATGGAACAGGAAATGTGCGTTTCCCACAGAGAGAAAACACCAGGAGTGAGCATGATATTGATATTCAGGTGGTGCCCGATGTTGAACCTGTTGCACTTTACAAAGATAGGGTGAGGCTGTGAGAGATTACAAGAGGAGATGGAGGGACATGTTTGTAAAAGCTTCAAGGGGAAAGTCAGAACATATTTGGTTATCTGGTTAGAAAAAGAGGGTGGTAACAGCACAGTGGTAACGGTTCAGCTCCTAACACTGGACAGAAACCTGACGAATAGGAATTCCAATGCAGTCAAACTGCCTGGACCCTCAGAGATTCAGACTACAGACCCGGACCATGCTAAACAAAAGTCTATACATGGATTCCTTATCTTACTGTTACAGATACCTTGTACGAAATACACGATCGCAAAACCACTTTGTGCTTTGTGACAGCAAAGCTGAAGAACAGAATGATCTTGTGAATTTAGGAGAGAGGCTGTTTCTGGAGGGCTGTCTATGAACTTACCACCCAGTAAGTGCATGAAACTGTTTTTTTTTTTTGTCAAGTTGAAAGCAACAGAATTGTAGTACTGTAGGTGGACTCTTGGGTGGCTGGGCTGAGCTGGGAAAGGTTTTTGCTCAAGTACAGGTTGAGCTCTATGGTTGCGGGTTCGAGCCTGGGTCATGTACACAAGTGGCCGGGCTGTGCTGGGGGTAGGATGAGATAAGCCAGCCAGGGCTGTCTCAGCCCTCAGCGATACAGCGCCCCCTGTGGCCAACCAGGCTCTTGCAGGGAGGTGGGACACACCTCTGCTCTGATTGGTGCAGGACCTCCAGTAGGGTGTGGCGAAGCCCATGATGCACTGAAAGATCAGCGGCTCTCTCTGTTCAACTACACTTCCTCACTCTCCCCTGTGTGCAGCCGCAGCGATTGTAATCGGGTGCCAGTACATGCATAACACACAACTGGCACCTCCAAATTCGGGGTGTGCCTGAAAACAAAAACTGGAAAACCTGCTAGACAACATTATCCAGAGATCTCCTCATTTGCTCATACCCTGACTGATCAGCGAATCTCCTGTAGTCACTTCCCAAGACTGAGGGCTCTGTTTTTCGGTGCTACTGTTATCAATACATAATAGATAGTAAATGTCCATCCCTGTGTTTCAGTCACGCATTTTCTGGCTAACAGAGCAAGGAGGAACACTACTCAGCAAACGGAGACATTGCTGCATACTGATGTTTGACACACAGGACACGAAGATCTGCAGGTGTTTCCTGGGAAGAGCCTCAAACAAAACCAGAACCCATGCACAAATTAGAAGAGGCTTTTTTAGATTTTTTTGTTTTCAAACAAGGAATTACTTTTGGCATCCGGAAATACACAAAATCGTACAATCCCGATTCTCTTGCTCTCCCTACCCAAAATAATTGCTTACATCAGAATCTCTGCAGTTGCAGGAAACAGTGACAATAACAAAAAAAATGAGATACTGAGCAGATCACTATGGAGATGCCTTTTTTTTCTCTGGTAAAATTTTATTGCAGATAGGCTTCTTCTGAAATCCCACAATAAAAGTATGATTCAGGGCTGCAGAGAAACAAGGAGCCAGTCTGCTAACCCTCATCCCCTGGGAACAAGACTGTAAGTTTAGACCCATCACTCACAGACTGTAGGACCACTCAATACTTCCTCCTCTCTCATCTCCGATGTTCTCAACTCATCTGCTTAACTGAATTACTCGCTCAGACTGATGATGATTTCAGATGCTCATATAAAATCTCACTTGGAAACCTCTGCGGTTTCTACTGCACCTCCTTACACTCACCATTTCCAACAAACTCTATCCGGACCATACCGCAGCGTGGAAAACACCTGGGATCTTCTGTCACCTTAGAGTGAGCTGCGCGGGGAGGTGTGAACAAGAGTTCAAAACGTGCTGCCAGTTGAAGGAGCTTTCTGAGTTTAGCATCATAAAAAGGAAGTGTAGGTTTATGAATGCAAGAAAACTGAACAGGCAGCTGAAAGTGCAGTTTCTGTCTCTTTGGGTTGTGCGGGTCTTTGAAGAAAGTGACCCTCAATACACTTAAAACCACGAGGGAAGAAAAAATACCTCACATTAGCAAAATTTTAATTCTAAAACATTCCATTACAAACCATTCCAGTGTCAAATAACACTCGAATACCCTAACGTCTCTAAATTATCTATAGTCTGTGTTTAACTTGTATCGTGTTTAAGCAGGACCTTAAATATATTTTTTATATATTTCTTAAATCTTCGATTTCACGAATGACTGTTTTGAAATCTGTGATGACTCATGCAGCCCAGTCATCCTGTGAGCTCTGATCAAAGGAGCAGATGGCCAAAAGCCCATCCTGAAGAAACTATAAAACAACGAGTGGTTTCTGAAACATCATCAGCACCACGATTGAAGACTGGACAGTTTAGAGTTACCTCAGCTTCTGCTTTTCACTGTTATTTCATCTGGTCTCACTGTTAATTTATCTAATTACTGGGGTGTGTTAGGATGGTACAGTATGCGTAGATGTGTTGGAAGGAAGCTGTTTGTTATTGGCTCTAAGATTGATATCTTTTAATTGTATGAGCTCACCAAACCAGATTTCGTGCAGCATGTTGCTGTGGCAATAAAGTATCGAATTGATTTCTCCATTGCTTAACTCTTCCCTTTCACGATCTCTGTGCTGATCCTGAATGAAGCCAGGCAGTTTCATCAGGGCTTAGGAAGAAAGCTTAGTGGCAGCGAGTTATCAGTCATGACCTTTTGACATTGCATTGATAATGGCCCGCCTCATTTCCAGTCGTTTTTGGAACTGAACTGGGACGAGAATAGAGTCCTGATCAGGGACAGTGTGTCTGCAACCTACATTTAACCACAGCTCATCTGTCCCCACCCCTGGATGGGACAATGGTCTATTGCAGAGATTAACCTCCAACCTGAGAAAGGCAGGTCCCCACTTAATTATTTTGCTAAAAAATGGAACAAATTTTGCTCTGAAGCATAACATTGACCGCTAATCCCATCCAGTGGTGCTGTTCTCCATTTGGCTTTTCCTAGTCTACAGCTGAATGATGATTTTCAGAAAGTTGTTTCATTAGCTGTCATACCAGTCCAGGAAAAGCAAAGAAAATGAACACATTAGTGGGACAACAGTGGGACTCAAACCCCCGACCTGTCGGTTCTGAGCCCAACATCATCCCCACTCTGCTGCGCCCCCAGCTGGCTAGGCCGCTGGAGAGGCAGGAACGGTTCTACCAATTCACTGCGCTTCAAAAGCACGAGGTAAAGACCATGCGGGTGCCGTCCCCGACCTTCCCGCCGCGCGGTTTCAGAGCTGGAGCGCACCGCGTGCACCGCGTGGGCAGGGGGACAGGCAGGCAGGGCAGACACCAGCGGCCTACCTCACGCACTCCGTGGACTCTGGCCTGGTGGCGAGGTCCTGATCCTTGGACGCGACGCCGAAGTGAATGGGGAAGAGCCCCCCCAGGATGATGTCTCCTTTCTTCTGCGCCCGCTGGTGGGGGCCGTAGGTGGAGATGACGCAGCTGGACCCCAGCAGGACCAGGTAGGACAGGTAGACTCTCATGGTCGGCGGCTCCGGCAGCTTCAGGCTTCTCGGGAAACTCAGAGGTTACTTGTCAGGGCTCGGGCTCCTGGGGCCCTTGTCCATACCACTCAGGCGGCCACACCAAAGACGGGTCACTCGAGGAGCGGCTGCCCATCTAGACTCGTCCCCGAAGGCCCACTCCACACCCCCGCTCCCGAACAGCACTGGCCAGGCGTCATGTTGGGACCGTCCTCATCACCGTTACCTACAGAGCAGGGGACACAATCACCGAGCGGCATCAATCGGTCTCGCACAGGAAATGACTGTCCCTGCGCTGCTCAGGGCCTTTGTCTCCAGGGCCCTTGTTAAAGTGGAGACACGTCAGAGGAGAGAACAATTACTTGCTTCATGATCAGAGTTCAGAGATTAATCCGGAAATGGTATTACTGATGTTCAGTGACCTTAATTTATACTGTATTATACTGAGATCCGCTCGCAATGTTGCTGCCTAGTGAAGTGTTTTTTTTCTACATGTTGTTCATCTTGCGGGTTTTTTTTTATCCTGTGTTATGTATATTTCTAAACATTTTTTATCACATTATGAAAAGGGACTCAGAAAATTCTCACACCTATTTACGGTATACACTGTGGAGAAGCGAGACACAATCAGGCAGCAGAGACTGAGCCCCACATGTCCCTGGAGTCCATACCAAGGGGTGGGCACCGGGCCCTGTTTTATCTGAACAGCGTCGAGAAGCCACGAGGCCTGCGAAAGCCGCTGGTGCAAGAGACGTGCCTGTCCCTTAGTGGAGCCCCACGAGGGGGCAGGGAGGGGGGCGGCGAAGGACAACGATCGGCGCTCCGAGAGGCAGTCACATCCCTGTAGCCTTATTCCACACCAGGCCTCTGCCAGCACCTGGGCGCTGGTGTGATTCGCGCCCTGCCACGTCTCATTGACCTGCAGAGAGGGACTAATTGCGTTGGAAAAATGCAGGGGCAGGAGTGTGCTAATGAACTAAGCCTTGCCACTTGTGATGCTGGAAAAAAGATTGAACACAGATTGTACAGAGGCTGATTACCGTTGCCGATTACCAATCGCACACCACATGTATGTGGCAAGAATGCGCAGAGCACAGCCAGACTGCTGCGGTCACTTCATCAATACATCCGTGGTGTTATTATAGAAGACGTCTTTCCAAAAGGGAAATTTGATCATGCAAAAATGGAGAATGTGTATTATTGATATGACACTCCTTTTGTCCTTCTCCTCTAGGTAGAACAGTAGCTTGATTTTTTAAACCAACACAGATTGTATATTCACCTGTTAATCATTTACACCTGAAACATTTATGAATTCGTTTTGAGCTCTCATTTTTCCGGTTTCTGAGTAGAAGAAACTACTGGATGTTTAGGTCATTGCAGAACATTTTAGCACCCTAATGCTGTCAGGGAACAGAGCATGCTTTGGCAGATACTTTACATGCTGACTTGTATGTTGCAAAGACAGCGGAAAACTCAGTTTACATCCGACGTATTCAATGTAGAGTTTAGAGAATATAAAAAAAAACAAGCGATGTGAAGTGTTTTACATTATAAAATGAACGTTCTCAGTTGCTGTTGAATGCAGGGTGAAACCTACCGTGCACACACACGCTGTCTGGACAGTCCATGGTACACAGACACGGAGAAACAGCGCAGGACAGCTCTGGCGCAGGCAGTGTGTGTATTTTGTCATCTGTCTGAATCATGATCAAAGAAATGCTACAGAATAGGAAGAATGGACGTGCATACTTCCTTTAAACAACTTACACTTAGTATTTACAAATGTACAGTAGAGTCGGAAGAAGACTGAATAAATAATAATAATTCTTTACACTTATATAGCGCTGTTCTGGACTTGATCCAAGCCGTGTGTTTCATCTTGTTGATGGCTTGCAGAAACCGATGGCAGTATAAGCTGCACTGTATTGCAAGAACTGCGCCAGCTGTCTCGTCTGGTCTTTCAGACTCTGGTGATTATACACATATCTATTCAAATATATCTTTGAAGGCAAATAGATAAACCCAGAGTCTCGATATAGGTTCATTTAATTGTCCCTATGCCTAATATTTATTGTTATTATAGCTCTGGAAAATGTATGTTCGACAAGATTAACAGATAACAGGAAAGTAGATAAGTAAAGTATTCCTATTTTTAAACGGAAATACATTTGCTTAAAAGCTCCATTTGAGGTTGTGCAAATAATTAAAGTAATAAGACGGCCGTCGCCACTGCTGGAACTGGAGAGCCCTAAACCATCAGTTTCTCAAGACTGGAACCCAACGTGTTGAAGGAAATATTTGAGAACTTCAAGATGACTTATTTTGACAAATCATTTCGAATTGATCAGAGTGAAATTGTTCCAAGGCTTTAGAAAGCGCTGGTTTAATTGCAGACCAGAGCCCCTGGTGTGTTGGGGCATATCGGGAGAGGACAGGAGCAGCCAGTGTTGAGACGGGGTGTGGGCACCGGTATACTGACAGCTGATCTGGTACCAAGCTGCGGACCAAAGTCGATGCGGTAGCAATACTTTCAGGTGCTGAAGCCCCGTCCACTACGTATTCACGAAACGGGAAAAGTCATTATACACCCCGAGTCTTACACTGTTTCCGACTAAAGACGTGAAACTCGCACTGAAGCTTATAGAACGTCCAAGTTGGGCACGAGCCAATGGCTCCACAGAGACGCAAAATATCGAAATACCCTTTGGAAAATGCGACTGTAGCTGCCAAATGCAAATTATTGAGCACTTTGTAAATAATTTCAGCGCTGTGAAAACAAAAACTGGCTGTTCATTCGACACAGAAAATATGAAGCATTATAGACTTAATTTTGAGGAAATCGATTTCAGGGTTATACTTCGTAGGTTTTGTTCATACTTTGTCTCGGACAGAGTGAGACAAAACTATATCTGGAGAACAAAATTTAAAACACACTACAGAAGTTTGTTTTTTTTAAGTTCAAACAATTCGTTCATAAAAGTTTCCATTCTTGCCTTCAAGGTGCTGATTCATAATTGTAACCACTAGCTAAAAATCTCTGAAACTGTAGCAGTAATTAAACTTTCATTTTTCACACGACATACAAGCAATTCTTGCAAATAGCTTTAGTTCGGTCCTTCAGTAAAGACTCTTGAGAATTCCCTAGTTACCCTAGGCAACTACTTATAATAATATTTCAAGAATAATCAGGAAGTTTTAATAGGTTTTCGTGCGGTGAAAGTGGAATCCAAGTGAGAAATAACCTTACCTCAATAAAATGCTCCCAAATGACACGACACGAGTAATACTGGAGCCTTCTATGTTTATAGTGTTAGGATTGTGGCATCAATTTCGTTCACTTCCAGCATTAATTCTTCTCACGGTATCTTTCAGCAAAGGGCAGCTTAGCGGTAACCTCGGTTACACATTAACCGAAGACGATGCCCGAGCGCAGGCTGGCTCTTCAGCGCATTTCGGCGAAGTCCGCTCCGCAAGTCGAGCCAAGCCGACGAGGCGGGGCGGCCGGGGGGATGAGACGCGCTGTCTTCGCGGGCGCGGAAGGAGGGATCTTCCACCCGAGGCGCGCAGGAAAAAGGCGATCGCCTGCTGAGCTGGTCCTGGCGTGCTGTCCTGTGTCTTGTGGAAATTACAATCCATGTCTGAGTGCTGCCGTGAGGGGAGGGGGGTGGGGTGGGGGAGAGGGCTGCCCCCCTCCCTCCGCCCTGTGTGTTTAACACATTAAACTGGTGAGAACAGCCTGTTACTGGATCAGACGTTATTCCAGCACCTTGTAACAACAGCACACACGGCATTATACACACAGCCCCGGGGTGCACGGCTATTCCGCTGTGCGCTCACGGCCAGGGCTCAGTGGATCTCATAACTGCTCTGGAGCCACGCTAGTGAGGCCGAGCAGCCCACGATGTAACTTCAGCGGGGAGATCCAGTGCCCCCATCACAAAACCAAGCCGGCCACCTGAAGCACACACACGCATTCACTTCAAATGAGTCTTCTTGTCCTGCTCAGAGATGACAAATATTTATGTATCCCTCTTTCTTTTTTATTTCCCGAAAAGGACATAAAAGCTGGTTGTGTGATTAACTTACAACTTTTCAGCTCCCCCCGTGGAGTTTTACAGTGTGGTAAATAAGTAAAAAAAAAAACATTTCTTTCCTAAATACACAGGCTACCACAACAGGGGATTGGGTCCAGCTTTGCGTTACCCAAGTAACAGTATTTATTGCGACTTGCACTCCCCACTGCATTAGGTAATGATGAAACAGACACAGGTGAGTATTTACTTTACCCATCATATTAGGGATAAAATCTCCGCTCGCTGCCAGAGATCGTCATGGCTACACGTGAATCTCCGGCCTCCTGCATCACACAGCCATTAGCCTCTGCTGATATCAGGGCAATGTACGAAGTGAGCCTGTCTTGGTTACATGACTTATGATATCAGTAGGTAATAATAATAATAATAATAATAATTAATAATTGCTTACACTTATATAGCACTTTTCTGGACACTTCACTTAAAGCGCTTTACAGGTAATGGGGACTCCCGTCCACCACCACCAGTGTGCAGCCCCCACCTGGATGATGGGACGGCAGCCATAATGCGCCAGAACGCTCACCACACATCAGCTATCAGTGGGGAGGAGAGCAGAGTGATGAAGCCAATTCAGAGAGGGGGATTATAAGGAGGCCATGATTGGTAAGGGCCAATGGGAAATTTGGCCCGGACGCCGGGGTTACACCCCTACTCTTTTCGAGAAACGCCCTGGGATTTTTAATGACCACAGAGAGTCAGGACCTCGGTTTTACGTCTCATCCGAAAGACGGCGCCTGTTTACAGTATAGTGTCCCCGTCACAATACTGGGGCATTAGGACCCACATGGACCGCAGGGTGAGCGCCCCCTGCTGTCCCCACTAACACCTCTTCCAGCAGCAATCTTAGTTTTTCCCAGGAGGTCTCCCATCCAGGTACTGACCAGGCTTACACCTGCTGAGCTTCAGTGGGCTGCCAGTTGTGAGTTGCATGGTGATATGGCTGCTGGCTTGATGACAGGAACTACAAAGCTCTCCAGATATAGGCTACACCAGTGGTTTCCAACCTGGTCCTAAAGGAGGATTGTCTCTCCCGATTTCTGTTCCAGCTGAGGTCTACATCTGCACTCCAGTGTTAATTAATTATCCACTTTGCATGTTTAGGTTTCAACTCCTTTGTATCATTGTATCAGACACGCCCATATCGAGAGTGACATTGTAACAGACACGCCCACATTGAGTGACATTGTATCAGACACGCCCATATTGAGAGTGCCACTCAGTCAGATCACTCCCACAAAGAGTGACACTGTATCAGACACACCCATATTGAGAGTGACACTGGGTCAGATCACGCCCACACAAAGTGACACTGTAAAAGACACACCCATACTGGGAGTGACACTGCGCCAGACATGCCTATAATGAGACTTCTTTCCTTCTCCAGATGTCCAGGCTACACACCTGAATGAGGGTAGTTCAAAGGCCCAGGAACTGGGATAGGGTTATATCAATTATTGAAAGTAAATTTACAAATATACCCCAGGTAGAAAACTGAAATCCTTTAGCCTGTCATTAGGAAAACTGCTGGTGCAAAAAACAGAAGAGACAACGTTCCTCCAGGACCAGTGTTTGTCTACTCTACTGCTTCACCAATTAAAATCTGGAGAACCTAGTCTTAAGCATTATATATCAACCTATTTTTCTTCCTGTTTACCACCAAGCTCGCTTAAAGGATGACGTCAGCTGGTGAATCATTAAATTCAGGGCCTAATGACACGAGGGAATTCTGGACTGAGAGGGATAGAAGCTGAGTGATGAGCAGAATCTCCATCTCCGTCATGAAATCTGCAGACCTTGAGAGATCGTTTTGAGAATAAAATAAACTTGCACTCTGTGCAGCTCTTGACATTTCCTTGTTTCCCTCTGCTGATGTGAGGAGTGTTAAGATGTGCTTCCGGAATTAGCAGTTTGATTCTCAGTTCCCTCAGCCAGTGGTATCCCGTCCCTGGATTCCAATGGGCAGCAGTGAAGAGGTGGGGAAGATTTCACATGGCCTCATGGATGGGGATGATCCCCTTCTTGAACATTGAAGCACAGAGATAAAGGAAGGAAAAAGACGAATATGAAAAATGACTGACGTGGAACAAATAGATCAGGTATCGATACAATGATTTTTTTTTTATTTTGATTAAAACATGCCATTACAATTACAGATTTACAACACACAACCAAATAGTGAGTTTCACATAGATACTATATAGGAAAGAGTCAACCAAGGGAAGTTTATACTGTAGAAACATATAACAGGCACAGGTAGAAAATTAAGATGCCTCTTGATCACATTTTATCTAAAAAAAAAGGAACAAATGAACACATATAGTGATACATCACAAAATAAAAACATCTTGACTGGATACTTGGGAGAGAGGCCCAACAATCTATGTTTCTGCCATACAGTGCTATAATGATTTATTATATATGTATAAAAGACAAAGCCATTATTTCCCATATCAGTCCAGGAATCTTTTCGCTTAAAAAATCAATTTCAGTTTTAATCTGCTGCTTACAATGCAAGCACACTTAGTGTGCGAAACCTGACATAGTAAAAATTGTACTTTAATTCTTAAGAAGAAGCTGTGCAATACAGCATCACTAGGTAAAAACATGACAATTCTATGGAACTGAGCACATTTGCTGTTAAACCATAATTCAACCTCTTAAATAACACATTTGGAAAATCTTAACACGCTATTTTAATTTTTAAAAATACAAAGAACAACTAAAACACCAAGCTGTTATTACATTTCTCTTTTTCTATAAATTTCATTTCATTGACTGCACATTGCACATTTTATTTGATTGCTCTTCCTCTTTACAGAAGAAGAAAATGGTCTTGAATTTGATATCCAGCTAGAGATCTGATCTGTTCTTGGCTTCTGATTAAGTCACAGAAACATCAGTCATATTTCCCTCAGGCACAGTCAGGAAAAGTAAAGAAAGCTCAACATTTACAACAGCTTGGTCTGCGTTCCTACTTATGAAAAATCAATTCATTGTTGAAAATAAAAGCAATCTCAAATGACAACAACATTGACTGATCGGTTCGTCAACACTCGATGAAGCAACCCCATTGACAAGGAGACACTGAGAAAAGAGTAAGGATCTTCATTATTACAGAGAATGAGAAAGTAATTTGTTTTTCTCCATGAAGGAGAACAACAAAAACAGCAATCAATTTTGAAGCTGTATTCTTGACTAGAAATTGTACAAATGAAGACAAATAATATTACCATTCCTGCATACCTTCAATCACAAAGTGACTATGAGCTATACACTGTAGCATCAGAATAGCCCATCCCCAATGTACAACGTGCAAGGATGAATTCACTGAGTACGGGATTCAGGATTAAATACTCGTACTACATATGCAGATGTGCGCATTCAAAACGGTGCACTTCTGAAAGCAAAAGGCCTGGATCCATCAAACTGAAAATGAATGCAAAAACACTTAAAAGGTCTGGGTGCCCGCACAGCCTGCAGAGACAGAGAAGCAATTACTGCTTCATTGTATAAAACTTACTAGGAGATTAGACAAACCTTCTTTTCCTAAAATAACAAATCAGATCTACAGACCCGCCAGAATCAGAACAGCTTTCAGTCCTACTGGTGTAGGAGGGGAAGAAACTCCTTTATAAAACTCAGGATGAGAGTAAGCCTCTCAGGTAATTTTATGATGTTGCGGTTGTAAATGTCACCTTAATTGTTATTGCTTTGGCCCTGCTCATCAGTCATGACAATAAAACTCTCCGAATGTGAAAAGCAGACATGGGCACAGTTCTGCGTATTGTAGCCGTGCTTCACTCTGGATACTTTTCACAGTGAGGAAATTCAACAGCTGCAGTAAAAGAGGAAGACCGCTGCAGATGCAGATCTTGATATTTCCGAAACCAAAGAAATAACATTGAACATCAAACACCCGCAGATCTGTCACGACATGTTCGGCAGGTGGACATTTCACAGGGGAAGGAGTGAAATCTCACGAGTGGGGTGTGGGCTCAACACATAGTGAACACTTCTGGGTTTAATTTTGAAGAGTGGAGACTAGAAAATTAAGAGAATTCTCCTATGACGTTTGTTTGGCACAACTAGCTCATTGGCATGGCTGAGGAAAGACAGATACCAGCAATAACACACCTCCAGCTGAAGAGCAAGGGCCTACATACTGTCTGAAACAGTTTAGAACAGTTTAGAAAGCCAGGCCCTGGTAGGTCTTGGAAAATAAAAAGGCAACTCTCTCATATGTGCATGGCAGAGCTTCATACAGGTTGGCACTGTTCCGACGTTACCCCCAGAGAGCCACACTGATGGAAGGAATATGTTGTAAATTCGTTTAAAACCCAACACTAGTATATGGTTGACAGCAAACCAAGAAAGATACAAGAAATTGCAGCTCTTGTCTGTCTTAATAATAATCTGTATTATACATCACAAGGCATGCTAGCCACTGTGAGGTCATCACAGCAGGCTCACAGCAGAACACTCATTCTGGGCATAGTTTTGCAGAAAGCCTCTCTCCTCCACAGGGCATTTTAGCATCCTATGAATTCCCAGTAGAGCTCAGGAAATATTCTCAGTGTGGCACACAGCAGCAAGCAATTTTCACTGCAGGACTGTGTGATAAAGCACATCAACTTAACTCCTGTCCTCAGCCAATGTGCAGATCTTCATCTGGAGCAGAGCAGTGACTCAAGGCCACGGCCATCTGGCAAACTCAGAAAGGGCCGACAGGGACACATCCAGACAGAACTGGTAGTGCTAATGCTTGTAAGAAGGTCCTCTGTTTGGTGAGTGAATTTTGTCGGTGTAGTAAAATTGACAGAATCCCAATTTTTGAAGAATAAATTCAAACCAGCCTGTGAAAAGGCCTGCGTCTGAACACACTGCGTGTGACGAGTGCACGCTCTGCTCTGCCGCCGCAGGGATTCGGCCACAGTGGCTCGTGGGTCCAGAGCCACACGGTACCGCTCACCAGACGGAGACAAACTCTGCCGCGCCAGAAGACACGGTCAATTGCGGTAGCAGAGTTCTACTCAGTCTAGGCGTCGGGGGGGTGACGTTGCCTGTGTAGCACGCTCAGTGAAAACGAGCCCAGACACACGTGCGTCTGCTTGACAGCGACCAGGTACTCACAGGCCTGCAGCAGAGAAGGACAGCGTCTCGATCAGTTTAGGCAGTAAATCCGTTTATTTTCTGGGTGATGGTAAGAGATCGGTACCGGAGGATTCTTTACACCTCTGAGTTCCAGATGACGTTCCTCCTCGTCCTGCGGTTCTTGGCTCCTGTGCTGTAGCCCGGCAGCGTGCTGGCCCTGAGCAGACTCCAGATGTATCCTCAACCCTGGCCACCCTCTTCCCACCCTTCCTCTCGCCTAAAACACAGGGATCGTATCTCTCCTCACGTAGTCCAGGTCATCATCTAAGGTCAGGAGAACCTGAAACGGGGGAGTCAAGACACACA